ATATATATATATATATATATATATATATATATATATATATATATATTTAGGTTAATTTGTACCGTTGTGTCTATCTTTGTGAAAGCAGTGTTTCATGCTTGCATTTGATTGTGAGATGATATTTCAGTTTCACTGCATTTGGCTTTTTGTGCCAAGAAGAGAAAAAAAAAGCAATGCAAAGGAGACCTTTTCTGTTGTGCGAGTCAGATGATGTTGCACACGACTGTTTATGGTTGTGTGGTCTTGTTCTCGCATATGATTTGGTTTTGTACCATTACTATTCTTTAAAGTAGTGTGGTTGCTTTGTGCCTGTAGGGACAGTAAGTGAAATCATGCTAAATGTCTGGCATATGTATTTAAATATATATATATATATATATATATATATATTTTTTTTTTTTTTTTTTTTTTTTTTTTTCCCCCAAGGCTGTTGGGAGCAGGAGAGCAGAAGCGAAGGAGTAAGGCCTGTGTGTGGTGCTCTTGGCTCTGTTGCCATCAGCATCAGAGCTTCCTGCACCCTACAACACAAACACACACGCACATACACTCACTCAACATCCAACAGCCTGGCCTGTCATCTGCTGGCCAACTTCTGAACTGCATCCCAATGTTTCTTACAGCAATCATAACGTATCTCAACCAAACAATACTGCTACCAATGCCCACTTGAGGTAAAAACATTGCGACAATAATCAGCTGATACATATTTGATTGTATGTTGTTGTTGTTGTAAGTAAAGGGAAAGAAAACACTCGCTCCTTCTGAGCCAAAGCTCTGATTCACACCTCCTCGCAGTCTGCTGACGGGGAAACACTGGCTGTAGTGGGTGGATGAATAAGTGTGTGTGGAGGTATTGCACTGAATCCTGCTGGAGCTTTGTGTAGGACACAGTTCCAGGCTCAGAAACCTTAATATCAGTGTGTGAGAGAGGTCTGTGCGTCATCGGTCCTCCACTCACATTCAAATAAGTAACTGTAACTATTAATGTGACTGTTATTAGGTTGGATAGATAGATAGATGGATGGATGGATGGATGGATGGATGGATGGATGGATGGATGGATAGATAGATAGAATCCATATAGAGATATATTCAATAATTCTGGTAGTCCCTATAAGCAAATTGCTAAAAGGTAAAATAATTTGATTAACTTGGGTGATGCCCTGATTTGACCAATACTTTTATGTTTATGACAGATTACCTGCAAAACTGTAGTTTTGATATGATAACTTTCTACAAAGGGGAAAAAGTAGCACATACCCAAACCATGCAAGCATGACATACAGGATTTAAACAATCTGATATGTACGCTGTGGCAGGCTGTCATAGGTAGATATCAATACACTGGCAGTGCGAACTGCACTGAAATAAAAAATGGAACCATACAGCAGTGGAGCATTTATTGAACTTATGTCAGAATGGATAATCGGCATTTCCAAAATGTAACCCCAAGTTTGTAATATTTCTTATTTTATTTAATCTTTTTGGTTTCCAGCACTTGACTTTCATTCACCCTCTCCCCCTCTTATCACTTATTTACTCATTTACTCAACTGTTCATGAATTCGTCTAGGAGCTGCTCGTGAGTCATCCTGTTGATGTCATTTATTTAAAGAGTGCCCCTTGTTGTTACACAGTACAGTTCTGCCCAAACACACAGCTGCCAACACATGTTGTTTTCTTCAGACAAAGTCTTGAGACACCGAGCTCGTCTCACTTCCCATCCTATCGCGTTAGTGTCTCCTAGATAATAAGCTCCACACGCCTCCATCCACTATCCCGCCCTATCCCCCCCCTCCAGTCACCCCTGATCAACATTTTTCACATTGTTAATCGCTTATGTCAGCTTCTGGTAATTATAGACGATTAATCATGTGTGATTCACTGTCTCTCTCCGCCAGCATTGTGCTCCACGCTGTGTTGAGCGAAAACGACAAAGGTGAAACTGCCTTTATTAAGTAGGCAGCGCCAGGGAGTGAACTCCCCAATGATAAGCAGTGTGTTGCAGTGCTCTGGCTTACACTTCCTGGAGGCCAGCGATAAAGGCCAGGTGGAGATTAAATTACATTAATTCCTTCGCCAGAAGCCCTGACCCAGAATGACTTACAAGAGAAGGAGGATGGAGTGATGCGCTGGAGTGAAACTACTGCCAAAGTACTGAAAAATGAATTAACCATCAGTGTCACAACACACTGTGGTCCTAACCTGCCTCATGGAGTCAACAACCTCAAACACAAACAATAGGCTGCATTTACTAAGAAAACACTGTAACTTTATTTGCTGTGATTTACAATTCCCACCGAGTTACTCATAAATGTATGAACAGGGGGAGTTATTTCCATCTGCCCCCACACAAAATCATTAACGGCTAAATTGTCGCTTTTTGAAATACAACAGAGTGCACACACCCAGTCTGGCAAACAATGATATGCAAACAATGTGTTATCAACAGGCTCAGTAAAAGCCAGTCGGTGGTGGAGAGTGCAGGAATTTCAGTTCTGTGAGTGTACTCCAACATTGTGTGAAGATGTGCCCCACGCTGCGCTTGTTGGTGCTTATTAGCATAACAGGTAAGTACATTTACTGCGTCTTCCTCTTGTAATTCTGTGTTTGTAAGAGCGTTTGTACGTGTAGGTTTGAATTGTACGGTGCTTTGAGTGATGTTTGATTTTGGATTAAACTTGTTGTTTTGTAGGATGTGTTGAACTGATCTCAGTCAGGACTCCGCAGAAACATGTCACCGTTACAATGGGTGAGAGTGCCCTGCTCCAATGTATGTTCGTGTCTGCCGAGGAGACCACGGCCCTCACCATCCAGTGGGACTTTGTTTCACCATCCACCATGACGCCACAGCAGGTAGAGACACACTTCTGCTCAGATCACAGCTTTGCACCAAATGTGCTTGAAATGAGCCGCATTACCCGATGGGATGCTCTATAATGTAACATCAGGTTTAGCGATTTCCTTCGTTGGTAAAAAAAAAACGAGTATCAGAATATTTCAAATGACATAAATTGAAGATAAAAGCAACCCTCTCCACTCTATATTGAGTTTAAATCCAGTAGCTCGCATTGTTTGTTCAATGACTGCACAAAGATTTGAGTGATATTGTGAAGACATCAGTCACTTTTCTTTCACATTTGCAAATGCAAGACAAGAATCACAGCTCGTCACCAAAACGTGGCCTGTTGGAGGCACACTGGTGTGGGGTCGAATGAAAGAACTCAACATTTTGGAAGATATGCAAAGTTTTAGTTGTTATGTGCTTTAAATTAACTTCATCCCAAAGCTTGAATATTCACCTCTTGTACACAGGTTAGCGCATTTTTTTCGGTATCCCGCGTTTTTGACTAACCGCCAGGAGACACACCTCAATGAGACAACGAAGCCTGTGACTGCCAAATCAGATACAAGCGGATTTCATAATAACAAAACAAAACCCACAATTCTGAATGATTGCAGGAGTGTGATTATTATTTAGACTAGAGTTTTAATTTGACTTTACAGGACAACTGATTTCTAATTAGCTGCAGTTACTTTTTTAATTAAAAAGGTACCATCCACTGGACTTAATTACACTAAAGGTCATTCATTTAGGCCCTGTGGACCTTATTTCTACATTTTCACACTTTTTTTTCATTATAAGCGACAAAAATCTCTTTTCTGGCCATGCTAATTTAACCAACTGCCTTACTAATGTTCAGTTTCATACAACTAAAAGAAAATGTTCTTAAAGTAGTGCACATGGTCCCTTGCAACTTAGGCAGCAGAGACTGAATAAAATGTCTTTGTGAAATCACAGAGTACCACACAGGGACAGAATATGGAAACATTTGCCTCTTTATCGTGTCTAATGTGTTGCAATTGGATTTCAGGTGTATTACTATCAGGCAGGACAGGATGTCATAACAGACTCTTATAAAGGCAGGGTTCAGCCTCCCTATTCTCCCGGCAAGACCAGCAACGCCTCAATATCAATAAGCAACATGCAACCATCAGATGCCGGAGTCTACACTTGTCAGGTTCACAACTTTCCTGACGTGGACGGAGAGTCTGAGGCCAATGTCATTGTGAATGTCCTTGGTAAGTTTGATCAACTCCAGAGGGGTGAAAAAAAACGTACTTTATAAATAATCAAGATACCCTCGAAGACTGTTTTTTCACCCATTGTTTGTTACTTCAAGTTGAATGAAAAGTAGTCAAATAACTAAGTACCAGTACTGATCTGTACACATCCATCCAGCCCAGAGAAGTGTACAATGGGTGTGTATGGGATTTCATACTAATGGACCACACCCGTTAGCATTATCAGCTTAATATTTACATTATGACAGAATGCAGAAGTAGCTGATAATGTTTGTGTCCGCATGGTGTGATGTTCTGCTTTCATACTAGCGTTCAGGCCTGGACCTGAGTGTTATCTGACAGCATGATCTGCTGGTAATGTTAAGACAATGAGAAAAACCCCTACCCGGCCCTAATCTGATCCTCAGGCTGGTGTTTCTGCCATTATTCTGTTGCTCTTAAGGGTGTGGCTGCCTGACATGGGAGAGCCAAAGCACACCGTCGGTTTCTTAACTGACACTTAAGTTTTGTTTTTGATTTAAATATACTGTATATGCACATTTTGTAATTCCATAGTAATAATTCTGCTTCCTCGTTTGTCTTTTTTGACTTTCTCAATGTTTTTAATGTAAAAGTAAGGCTTCATGTCTGACTAAGCTACTCTCTCAAAGTGTTTTCCAGTGTGAGTCACTGTAGGAAGCAAGAGTACTTAGAAATATTTTAGTGCTGAGATTGCTGTATCTATTATCAGTGTTGTGACATTAACACATCTACTAAAGCAGTGGCCCTGAATAGTGCGATTAGGGAATTACATTCAGCTTGAATCCTCTCATCCACCGAGTTACCAGGGACAACCTCGCAGGCCTCGGTATCCTCAGTAGTTTCCATGGTTACTGCAGCAGTCTCCTCATTGTCAGCGTTGTAAATTAGAGGAGGACTGTGACTGCACCCTTGTTCTGCATACAGATCATATATCAGCATCCGCTGCATGCAAAACACACGTCTTGTGATTTCATAACCTCTATGAAAATGTTTGCAGGGCAGCTTCTGGATGTAACGCTTACTTAAGTGCTGTGTGAATATGTATGAATGTCCTCATGCTGATTATCAGGGGATGAAAGATTTCCATCATCACTTACTGGTACATAGAATTATGATAATACTGAAAAGAGAGGGAGGATTCTATCATGGATTACAAGTAAGTCTGTGAGCTTTACCCTTATTGTGAAAATATTACGCTGCTAACCTAATGATTGGTGGGCACCGTGGGGATCAGCTCGGGAGTTGTAAGGCCACTCCCAACACACTTCCTGCCTCGGGATGACTAATGGACGGACACAATGTTTGAATAACAATAAGCAAAGGATTTGTCATTTCATCAAACTCAAATCTGTAAATTGTCTTTGCCACAAGACACACAGATTTATACACTTTTCTCCAGAATCCAACAATTCTGTGCAAATAAACAGAAATAAAGAGCGGCTGGCAGTATTAAAAAACCCTATTGATTTATTCTTTGACCAATCAAGTGAGTTAGCAGAAACTGTTGGATTGTAATAAATATACAGGATAGCATGAGCCAATGTTAAAGCAGTGGTGCAAATTCAGTTCACTTACGAACTGTACTTGAATATTTCATACTTTATACTTCAACTCCACTACATATCTAAATATATTGCAGTTTTTATTCCCCTACATTTAATTGACAGATAAAGTTACTAGTTACTTTTCAGATCAATACTTTAAAAAATGTGCTTATAAGGTACAATGCATAGTTAGAGACCATTTTGGCTTGTGGCCTTTTCAGATGTCTAAGACTTGTTAGTGAGACTGATTTCCCCTTTAAACTGATTGATTTTATTTAAATACTTCTTGCAGGCTCGAAGAGGTAAAATTATCAAAATATATCATAAAAAGAGAAAGAAAGAGAAAAGTCCAAAAAGTGAATACATATTTGGGTCGCAGAGCATTGTTTTATCTTGTCTCCAACCCTCATTAATTATCTCAAGATCCCCAGATTTGAATGTTGACTTTTACTTAATTAGGATTTTGAAGTACACTTGGCCTGGAGTATTCTTTCAAATTATGTACTGGTGGGTCTGAGTAAAGCATAAACATATTACTCTTAGTGTGACACAAATTGTTCTACCAAACAGCTCAGGATCAATTCAGTCCGAAGCTCTTTCTGAAATAGCATGACAGCATAATGGTATAAAATATATTCTCCTGATTAAACATGTGCTTCGTAATAATCCCAGGTAGAGTTACTAAATATAAAGTCACCCTCATGCGTCCTCTTTGTCCCCTGTCAGAGAAGCCCTCTACTCCTTATTGCTCCGTCCACGGTGATGTGGAATCGGGTCACCTGGTCACTCTGACCTGCCACAGTGAGCGTGGGAGCCCGAACCCGAAATACACCTGGATCAGACTGGATGAGACTAAGACAAGGAGGCCTGTACTGGGAAGAGGTCAGTACTGTGTGTGTGTGTGCGTGTGTGTGTGTGTGTGTGTGTGTCTATTTGTGATTGTGGACATGTGCACAGTCGTCATTTTTTATCTACAAGTGTGCACTTGTTTCTTCAGCAACCGAAACTGGAGTACTGAAAATCAGAAACATATCCCAGTTTGAGTTTGGGGAGTACCAGTGCACCGCTACGAATGCGGTGGGATTTTCAACATGCACTGTAGAGCTGAGTCCTGGTATGTTTACAGTTTTGGTTTTTGAGAATATTGACTAAAATATTTAAATCAACACAACTACTAAAATGACTATATTCACTTGTGTTTGTACAGAAGTGGAAGATGGAGTGATTGCTGGTGCCGTGATCGGCGCGCTGCTCGGGTGTGTCCTGATCCTTCTGGTGGTGTGGTTCATCGCTCACACTCTGAAGAAACGCAGATACAAACGGGTCAACCCATCAGAGGCCAATGAGATGAAGTAAGACTTTAGATTCTCGATGATGTTGCATTTCACCATGTCATTCCTACTTTTAAGTGTGTGACACCGACTCTCTGCCACCAGGAGGAGCACTCCTCAGGCCCAGCAGGCCTCAGATAGCGTTACCGTGGAAACCCCGGCCAGCAACCTCCATGCTGAGGGAGATGAGCCACAAGCCTAAAAAAAAAAAGGCCCGGAGCAACTTCACTCTCCTGAACAGGATGTCCAGTCTTTGACATACGGCATTCTAACATTTAATCAACGTGGCAAAGCTCACGTTCGTGTTCAAACTTGCGTTTTGTTATACGTTTGCTGAATCATGAAGTTAAGATGCTCACCATCTTTAACATGTCTTCCATGTGTTTTTTTTACTTAAAATGTGCTTTAGTTCTGTTTGCTTTGCCATTTAGTTAGTGTGCCAATCAAACCATGTTGAAGAGCCCTGCATTTTTTAGAGGTAAAATAAATGCTCCCAGTTTTGTACGTAGCACCTTTAAGTATCACAATTTCCGCATAAAATTGAAAAAAATGTACAGTTAAATGGATAGTACAAACTAACTTAATAAAATCTATCTTTAGTTCATCTTTTTTTTAAACAAACTGTCAAGCAGCTATGGATGAAGTATGATTACTTTATGACATCCACAGATCCTGATTAAATAAAATACTCTGTTTCCTGAGTCGTTGAGTCATGTAGCTTATAATTGATAACATCAAGGTTCATCAAGGTGGCCGCAAACTCACACTGGAGTCTCAAAATCTAGCTGAAGCGCTCGGTCGGGTTAGAGTCCTCCTCCTGTCCATAAATTGGTTTCCCCTCTGGCCTCTGCTAATGCAAATCTAGTACCCACAAATGAATAATCATTTGGCAAGTGTGAAGGCAGCACACAGACCTTTAATAGGTGTTCTTTGAACTGCTTGGCGTCTTCATGAAACCAATATGAATTAGAATTACACAGGTTACACTTTAACTACGACTAGCTTTGGCCAATCTACTTTGCATGATTAATTCAGTCAGCTCTGCTGCGGTAAACAATGCAGCCATCCTGAACTACAACCGCAGTAGATCTCAAATACGATGTGAAGTCAGCCAGCTTTACCCACTTGGACACATTATTTTTCAATAAAGAACGATGAATTTTAGTTTTGCCAATTGATTTGTCAATAAACAAGCATGTCAGCAAACAAATTCTTACCTGATGACTACATCAGATCTGCAGGTTGACAGTGATTCTCAAAATCATTATGTTCAGATTTGTTTGCATTTAGACTGAGATGATACACATACGTATCTCCCACACCTCACTTTAGTGAAATACAATAACCTTGTGTTACTTGAACCTTGGATCGGTCCACCACGTTGGTCCAGACCTAAATATCTCAACAACATAATGGATTACCAGGATGTTCTATTCAGACAGTCAGAGGATGACTTGTAATAACTTTGGTGATCCTTTAAAATTTCATTTCGTGCCATTATCAAGACAAAAGTACTTGAAAACAACTGATTTACCTTATAGCCTCGGCTATACTTACTTTTTAATAAGCTATAACTTACTGTAATAAGGGCAATATTACAGACCCAGTCCCATCCTCTATTACACCTTTTAATGTGATGATGTGATTGTAAGAGCTCAATAATATCAAACCATTTCAGTACTTATACATTTAATTATTCTAGGGGTAATTCAGGAGACATTCAACACTTTAAAATGATTTTTAAAAAAAACAATTAAAAAAACATTATTTACAAAACAATTAACAAGGACGTGAGCAGAGGATAAAGTCACACTCCCTCTGTGTGTGTTGTAATCACAGCTTCTCTCTTGGTTGTGGTTGCTGGGCCCAGGCGCTCCTCCGTGTTACTGCATGCGAGTATGAGAGAGTGACCTCCCACACAGCATTGTAAAAGCAAGATGGCAGAGTGCAGCTCAAGGAGTTCAGCAGAAGGATACTGAAAAGCATATTCTACTCATGTTTTAGGTAGCTAGCGTTAGCAGGACGTTACATGGATTTATGTCACTCGACAGAATAAAGAAATAGCTCCTTACCAAGCTGAATGTTTTACTAAAATAACTCCATACTGTAAAACTCAATATTCCAACCCAACGAAATAATAGCAGAGATGTACATCCTCTTGCTTGCCTATAGTCTACTTACTACTTAAGGGGAACTTTATTCTTTTGTTAATCTCGTTGTGTGCAAAGAGGCCTTTCTCTGTGTTTTACAACACGTTGCTATGAAACGCGAATGAAGGGAGGGAGCTGTGGCCAACGCACGTTTTTTTTTTTTTGTTAAAGCATTTGATTTTCGACAAATATTAAAAACACATTTCTAGAATACATCATTTAGCTTTAAGGAGGCAAAATTCCTGTGCCACGTTCTTGTTATCTTTTACAGAGGACCAATAGTACTACTAGAAAGCATCCTGACTGGAAACATCACAGACTGGCATGTGCACAGCCAGGACAGGTGTGCTCTACAGCAGGGGATTCAAATCGGCCAGAACATCTTTGTTACCCATTTACAGGCAGGAATTGATATCAGTGAGGTGAGGTGCCTACACAGAGCCCAAAGGATATTAAAAGACAATACCAAGCCCAGTAACAGCGTGTTCGACCCTGCTGCTAACTGATTAAGCACAGAGGTGAAGAAACCTTCATGTCCAGGATCAGGCCTGCAGACCGAAGCAGCGTGCGGAGCTGAGGACGTCGTCTCTGGTCAGATAGCATCCACAGAGCTGCCTCAGGCCAGTGAAAGACTCCCTCCCATGCATGACACGCCAGTTGTCTATGAAAATCACCTCATGAAGAAAAGAGAGGGTACAGTTCTTAGATCATACTGAAATACACTTACATCTGTATCTTTCAAAGTTTCCTAAAGCTGTAAATTAAGTGGCTGAATTGGACATTTGGAGAGCTTTTATACAAGAAGTGTAACTTTCTTACTTTCCCTGGAGCCAGTTTCACCCACAGCTCGTTCTCTGGCCGCCTCAGTTCTATAGTCAACTCTCGATGTGCCACGTACCATCGCTGAACAAGGTCATTGGGTACTGTGTTTATCACTGATCGGTCATAGTTGTTGTATCTGTTGATAAAAGATACAACAATCTTGCTTTTCAAAAATGTGTCTTAATGCCTTTTAAAACTACTTAATATTTCTTTAAAAAACGAATATAAAAATAACAAGAAATGAACTATCCAAACTACAGAGGAACTATAAAGTTTCTCAACAAACTTTTAGTTCGGGACAAATTTACCTTATAAATACATTTACTCAAGGGAAGCCTTGCATAACTTAACAACAAGACATATATAAAGCTTTAGCTCTACATTAAAATCCTAAAATCTTAATATCTTATAATTCACTACTGCACAAACATGAGTAAAATCACATCAAACTAAAGCGCTGACATACCGGATCAGAGACATTTCATTGTTCCAAGGATAGACGTTAAGCACGGGGCCGATGCCTGTCATGTGGTTTTGGTGGTTCTCAGAGGTTTCAATGTACTCGTGCCTGATCGGCACACGTGCAAGCAGCTCAAAGTTTTCAGGAGACTGCTGGCGCACTTTCTCAGCGGCGTAGAACCCATCTACAAGTAGTGTCCTTCCCCCAGTTCCCTCATGCCTGAGGCAGTGGAATACCTGGATTCTGCAACAGCAATCCACACCATTGAGTTAGAAAATGCCAACATTTTCTTGGGTTTTGTTTATCATGTAACTAAATTCCTTTCTATTGGGGCTGTGTTGAAATCCCATATCAGCACATCTCTGCTGCACCTACCCACATGGTTCCTGAAAGTAGGAGGTGTCAGTGTGACGGTCCAAGGCCAGCTGGCTGTAGGCAGAGTCTCCTCTAGAAAAATCTGAAGTTAAAGACCACATTCTTCCGTATGTAGTCTCCCTAGTGGATCAGTAACACAGAAAAACACAAGTGGATTAGGAAGAAGTTAACAGGGCCGAACATCTTCTGGGCTGCCCGTGAATTTTGCCACTGAAAGTAAATCGCTAATGCTGAATATGGTTGCATAAGAATGTAATTTGTGAGTTATACAGTTTCACAGTCAGCACTTAATACCTGATCAGACTGACCCTCTGGGTCACTGCCTCTGTGGCCTCGACTGTAGCTGGGACATCATCTACAAAAGCGATCCCGTACAGGAGATAGTTTTGAAGAAACTTCTTCACTTCCTCATCACTGCTCATAAACGTGTCCCATTTGGCGGAGGGTGCGTTTGCATTTTTATAGATGTCTGAATTCCAAAGGACACGTGGCTGGACGGTGCTCTGCTTCTTTGCTTCATAGCTGTTCTCAGCTAGCCAGCTAAGGCCGTACTTTGACACATGACCTCCAGGCCCTGGGACACAGAAATTGAATATGTTGTTATTAGGCACAGTTAATGGAGATCACAGTGTGTGTGTGTGAGAGAACCATTTGTTTGGTACTTAAGTACAAAATATCCTGAAATGATTAGAGCATTCTAATCTAATCTTAAATCTAATCTCATATTTTAAAGCTCTTTCCTTTTAAGGGGCCTTGTGTCATGTGCATGAACAAACTTAAATGGGAAAATAACCTTTGCACTGCAGCACATGAGGTTTTACAAGATTACAGATCCAACAAAGCCAATTCATGACCTGACCACACCCTCGGGATTAACTGACAACAGAGTGAATCTGCACAAAACACACCCATCACAGAGTGAAAAGTGACCTTTGCATGAGCAGAGAACTTCTCAAGTCAGTGGACAATGACAATTTGCCCTCATGATTGGCTCATTCACTGTGTTGTATCTGACTAAATAGCCCTACAGACAATAGACGCAATTTATTTGTTCTTTGAAAATGAGCGATTGAATCTGGCCCAAGGTTGCATGTTATAAATGCCTTATTTCATATTGTATAGCTTTATTTCTTGGTGCTTGTGTTGTTACTTTCCGCGATGGCCCGGGCAACTCATGTCAGAGGTGCAATGGAGCAAAACAATGTTTTCAACGCGAGGTCAGATTAATTGTTTAAAATGTGTTTGCCCAATACAATGCACACAGCGGAATGTCATGACAGATTCGTTTCAGGTTTTCAGTGTGTGAGTTTGGGGTCAATTTGATTGAACACAACATTGAACATTTGGCCCAATAGGACCCGTGTCCAGCTTCGGATGAACTATTTGTTCTGAGGTGCAGTGGTGGAATATATTAAGACAAGAACGCTTTCTGCCAAGTATTTCCCAGATGTGCAGGTGGGTAGAACTGTACTTTAAACTGACTTACACGTGAGGAGGAGATGGCCATCTTGCACAGTTATATTGTCAGGACGGATGTTGAGGTCTATACTCCCAGTGTCCAGGTTTCTCTGGTTTGTCACAGAGTTGTATGAGGAGGGGGAGCGGCAGTGATCCCGCAGCCACAAGTAGTTCAAACGCATAGGCGTCCCTCCATAGTTGAGCACTGGCGAAATCATCACATGCACATGGTCAACAGTGAGTTCTGTCTCACACATACGTGCAAGCATAGGTTACAATGTTATCAATACTCACCGAGACAGTCTTCCAGAGACTGAAATGTTGCTGAACCCGCAGCACACGCGCGGATCTGCGTCATGTGTCTCCATGATAGTTGCGAGCTTCTGAAGCCAGACAGCAGCTGAGGCTGAGCCTGTTTAAGCGCGGGTCGCAGTATCCTATTGAACGTGCCCAGCATCGTGAGCACTGTGCGGTGTAAAAAGTAGAATTAACCCCAAACTTAAAATGGTAACGTTCTTCTTCGCCGATAAGCCACGCATGATCTCCCTCAGCGCTCCACCTGACACCCCGAGTGAAATCACGAAGCCGCAAAAGTGCGTGAATTCGGCGCATGCGTGGTCCCCTCGACCTCAATACCCGGATGCACAGCGTTGAGAGAGAGTTGACTCAACTTCTAAATAGAGGAACACCGCGATACAATTCAGTGAGGTGGATGATTATCAGATGATCAGATTATTATTGGTGTGGAAATTTTAAATATAACTTGTATCGCTTAAACCTGCATATATGCAGATGAGGCCAACCAGACTCTGGATGTAACATGACAGGAGACGTCATGCTCACCTGACAGCATGAGAGGCCTTTTCTACTCTGGAAACCTGACAGTTATTTGAATGAGAGGCAGAGGTGAAGCTAATAGCTTGCTCACCCCATATTCACAGATGAGGCCATGTTAGGCGGATGGCTGATACAGACCTGCATGCTGGCTCCCTCTGGACTCCTCTCTGGAAATTGTCTGCTTTTTAACACACAAATCACCTGGCTGAATACCGCTTTCCTTTTCCCCCGGCTACCAATTGTCTGTTTTGTTGTGCTTCACAACGAAGAGCAGTGGTACACAGCTGTCGGCCCTGCTGCACACTTTGGTGTCCATATAAATTGGGAAGTTTAATAGAAGAAGATTCCCGATGCATAAATCATAATAGAGCAGCCAAACAGAAGTGTGATCATTTTACCATGACGATTTGTTACGAAGTAATCCTCTGTATGAAACTGTTATATAGACGGGAGTGATTTGTGCATCAGTAAAGAATGCCCTTTTGGATATACCAGACATAAACCGTGTGTATTCCTCTGGTAGTGTGTGGTTTGGCATTCTCTGTATTGAAGTTGAACATGTCATTGATCAGTTTGTTTCAGGAGCCTAAAGTGAAGTTTGTGTAAATGTAAATTTGAAAAATCTGAGGTAGGCTGTACAGGAAAAGGGACTGGAACCATCGGGGGAAATAACCAGATTTTTATATTTAAATATGTAATCATAGCCCTAACACTCAGGCCCTGTTTTCAAAATAAAGTGTACACGTGTTTTTTTATTTATTATTTTGCATCTGTAGCTACAAGACTGAAACGCCCGTGTATTAATACATCACGTGATCGGTGTAGGCTAATTTCCCGTTGATGATTGTTGAAATTAGCACCCAGACAAACATACTCACGCTTTGTTTTGTAATGGACATCCCTCCAAATCAGCTGCTGGGAGGGGTTGACCGTCAGTAGCACTCCGTTATTTGGCTTCCTTGTAGCCTGATAGTGCAGCCCTGCTGAGACCGCTGCGGTAATGCCGCATTCAAGTACTGTCGGAAATTTGACGTTTCCATTCGGTGTCCACGAACTGTTTAGAGTGAGCTATATGAAGGTGGATTGTTTATCAGAATGTGACGTTACGGGGCCATACAACATGGTAACGACCGTTGTTATCTATAATTATTATTGTATGTTTATATCGTTCCGGTCGGCTCTCACACTTTTATTAAATTATATAACTTAAAAGTTTCAAATTTGAGCAGATTGTAAAATCAAAAATTGAAAAACGTGAAACAATAGAATAAAACAGAGCAAGACAACCAAACAGTAGGCTATTATAAATTTGCTTCCAATATTTCTTGGGATACAGTTAACTTAGTCTTAATTCATGTATGAATAGATATAAAGTATTAAATAAGCAATTAAGAACATATGCTGCTAAAGTATAATCTAAACACAGCAGCATAGCAGCACTTAATGTGGGTCTTGCAAAAAACAATCCTGTGACATGCTCTATTGTGCTGTGATTTCACAGTTGAAACACTTAAATCCATAGCCTACAACAGAAACAATTTGAGTAGTAGGATTCAGGAGTTTATATGGCGCACCTGAAGGCAGCATTAGCCTTGTCCTCTGAGCAGCAGTCAGTTGCATGTTTACTTGCTTTGTCAGCGGTGTCCCCGCAGCAGATATCTCGTGCACCTCACCTGCTGCTGATCAAAACCTTGGACTTTTATCTCAGAGGGTGACTTATCGCATCTCCCGGGCTCCTTATCGGCAGATTCCTCTCCGCGTTTCGTGGCGAGGCCGGCCTCTTGCGGACTTTGAGCTTGGGGGGGTTCACAGTTTTTTTTCTCTAGCTAACAAAGATGACGTTAAAATCCAATAAAAACGAACCCGCTGTCATACTGGAGTCTGTGAACAGCGTGCGGACAGCCCTCTCCGATCTCTACCTGGAGCAGCTCCTTCAAAACAAACCAAAGTCTGACAAGGTAAGGTCTCGTTTTAATGTCTTTATCTTTTTTTTTCTTTTTTTTTGACCCCAAGATCTTGGTGTACATGTTTGCTTCTGGGAAGCAGACATGGGGCACATGACCGTTGTTTGTTCCTCGACAAGATCTCTAAAAATAGACCCAGTCGTGTTTTCGTAACAGAACGTACAGCAACTGAGTGTAGTCTGTGAAACAATGAACTATACATGAAGGTCTTTCTTTAAAAACATCAGCGGGTCCGTGTGTCCGAAGGAACCACTGCATTGCTCAGCGGTGCTCAGTCAGCAGTAGTTGGATCCAAGTAGACATTACATTGGCAGTTTCACTTCTGGGTTCCACCTAAAAGCTACACATGGGAATCATCTGACGATTTTGGGGAAACGAGGCTCCATCACATGTCAGACGGTCCATACGTTTGGCTGGGATCATATTACAATGACCCTGTGAACTTTGCCTGCAGCTACAAGTGCTGCTGCTTAATCTGTGTGCTCTGAGGCCTGTTTACTACTTCACACTGTAACACAGGGTTGGCATTTAAGACATGAACTTGTTTTCAAGTTAAGGCCAGATTATGTTGCGAAACCACTTTGCCTTCATTAAAGCTGGACAACATGTGTGACCACTAAGTAGTTAAGACTGTTGCAACTTTTTTTTTGTTTTTATGACTGACGACCTCAAGGCACCAATTTTGCTGCCAGTGACACAAAGGGAACTCTTTGTCCTAAACCTCGTCTCTGAATTTGAACAGTCAGCAGTGAGCTACTGAGGGGAAATGGAGAAGGGAGGAAACTCCTTTTCCTGACATCAGCAGTTTGCAGTTTGACAGCCTTGAGTTTGCAATCTCGGCGACGTGTTCTTCTGCTCAATGCCGATATGGGGAATCAGTTTCTCTTAAAGCGAGGTCACGTGCTCCATTTATCTCACAGTGCAGACACTGCAGTGGGCTCATATTGTGGTACGTGAGTGAACATCCGACTGATTTGCTGAACCGAATGGAGTCTTTACCTTGAGATTGGTCATAAAAACTAATAAAGTGAGGCGGCCTGTTCTGTTCTGCACGTGTTTCCAGCTCAGCAGTGTTCTCCTGCCTTACATGGAGCTGTTGTCCTCTGGAGATACTTAAAGACTGACTGTACACGGGCCCTTCATAGACAGGTCATTCAGGTGTTTAAAACTTGTTATTGTAGCCACACTTCTCGCTGTCACGTTAAGAACAAAACAAGTTTACGCGAGTCGGGCTTCAGGCAGGTGTGACCTAGCATGGCACGGAGGACTTCATGTCCTGGCTGTCTCTCTCAGCTATTTCTGCGCAATCTATCCAAATTCTTCTGGCCCCATATAGGTCAAACGTTGATCTCCTACTGTGTTCCTTCAAGAGATCAATACTTCTTTGCAGACCAGCCCTAAATCCCACAGAGGGAGGGGGGTGTCATAAATTAATAAATACTATTTCTTGGCTTTAGAAGACAAGTCGTCTCATGAGAGAGAAGAGGCCAGAAAGAGACGGATTGTTTCGTAATGCAATCAGTCGTATTAGATCACGGTTCCTTGTGGAGGAAAGCAGGCAGAACAATAAGGTTCAGGTCTTCATAGTGTTTTATCTTATCCAGAGAATGGCTTTCTGAAATGCACTCTCTGTTTGATCTACTTCATATGAAGCCAAATTTACCTTTTAGGTGAGGTGAGCGGATCAGGGGGGGGACACGCTGCTCTTTCCTCGATGCACTTTTGTCTTTCACTCGACTTCTTTGTTTATTCTGTTGCTTCTCCACACACAAGACCGGCATTCCTGTTTCTGTAAGGGCTTCCTGACCCTGGTTAGAGTAACATATGTTTACTGTGATTGCATCACACTGTGACAAAGCAGACGAATACTCTCAGTGCCAATCCAATCCACAACTCATCACATGGGTATGTTAGCATTCAGTGGTGAAGACGTGTTTATATTGCCTGCTGTATGGGATAAATCTGTTTTTAGGTTCGGTGGGTTCGTGCTAAAGCCTTTAGATATAACCTTTGTCCGTTTCCTTCCTGTTCGGTCCTGAGGGTCAGCACTTTGTTGGGAGGAAATAAAGTCTGCTGCTCTGTTCCTTGTGGAGAACTACCCGATAATTGTGAACATAAGTTGAGCATTTATCCCTGCCTGTACATAAGTAGTCTCTCTAAATTGGGAAAAACAATAAATGTCAGTCATTTCTGATACTTTTTATGCGCTTTCATCAAGTGAATTTACGCTGAGTCACAAGATCACGGACATGTGGTTCCACTAAATTGCTCTCCTGTTAACTTTGGAGCAGCTTTGAACTGCAAGTTAAGTTTTGATATCCGGAATAGGAATAACAAGTGAGACACATTTGGAGTTCAGAGATAGAAATCAGTGTGTGTGTGTGTGTGTGTTGTTTCACGATGGATTTGTTTGTGGGGATTGTAACTGTAGCGAGATTGCTGTACAGACTCCTTTCCTCAGAGGATGTAATTTCATCGGTTCACCATTGGACGCCATCCAAATACTCGCTCCTGGTACGGCACACATTCCTGACACATAACAGCACAAGGCTGGTAAATAAATATGTTGCACAAGTAAAAAAACAACAACTGCGTGGCTCTCATGACTCCTGCTTGCTTGACCAGCGCTGTTCATTGAACGAATAAAGAGTTTCATTAAGAGGAATAAACCTACAGTAGAAACACTCTTGCAGTATTTTTAGGGCGTGGAGGAGGAATGCGATAATGATATTTATTGGTTTATTGTAGTGCTGATGCTGGAAGATAGATAATAGAGGTTTTTTTTGTTGAAGCAGTGCTGATGTGTCATTTCCATGCAGAGCGTGTCTCTTCTCTGACGGGGATCTGGACTAGAGACCACCTTTGTTGACACTATGGAAGTAGGGTGGAAATTTCCCTGGGATTTCCTGCTTTTGAACTCATCTTTGGGTTCATGTGAGTGTAAAAGCATAGTGTGACTCCACAAAGTCAGCCTTGGGTCCCTCCTTTTGATTTCTATACCAAACGTAGACAGTTCATTCCAACGCTATAAGGATGAGCTTCCTCACATTAATGCTACTCTTCGATGCGATAACCTGATGAGCCTGGTGGTATCCATGACCACATGAACCAGGTGGACCAGATCACTGGACGTGGCTAATGAGGTGTGATTACACCGGGTTAATTTTCAACCTCGAACATATGTTGAAACTGCAAATGAAACACGGCTGTTGGCACGCATTAGCAAAAGAAAAACTTCCACGGCAGTTATTGGAAATAGCAGAGTGATAATGATCTGGTCTGACTCTAAATCTTGAGTTACATTATTTACCAAAGGGAAGGTTTAAACATTGTTGTTCTTTTCCTTTTAAGCAAAGTTGATTTCATTCTGTGGTCTTCTGTGTGACATAAAACAATACATGCTTAATTTTTTTTTTCTTTTTGTCTAACAGGCCGCTATGCAAACCTATGAGAATAAGGGAGCTGAAGTTTACACCAACGGTAGCACTGGACACATGAACGGCACAGAAGTGACCAGGATGAAAGAAGTAGAATTTGAAAAGAGTCCTTCAGAGCCAATGGTATACGATCTGCCTCTACACGCATCTCTATGTTTTTATATTTGTGTTGCTGATTCCTCCTCATTGACGGTGGTCTTTGTCTGCAGGGGGTCACTCTGAAGCTGAATGACAAACAAAGGTGCACTGTGGCCAGAATATTGCACGGGGGCATGATCCACAGACAAGGTAATCAATCACATATTTATGTGTGTGTGTGTGTGTGTGTGTGTGTGTGTGTGTGTGTGTGTGTGT